GCTCTAATGAGAGTATTTTTCAAACTCTGCAACTACATTAACAAATAGATTTAATGCAACCAGTACACACACGTGACAGAAACAAATGTTTGTGAGACAATACTTATTCTTCCCAAGTATAATATACTGTTTTTTAAATTATTATCATATTATATTCTGTTTCTTTCTTTCCTTCCTTGCATTCTTCCTTTTTTAATGCTGGTCATGAGTCATTAAATTGATCTCACAAAGTAACAAACTCTCATCTTGGGTGTCACCTTAGGGGTTTGAACCTAAAGCAGGTTAAGTCCATGGAATTGACCAGAAAGAACATAACTAGAAATCTGCAGGCAGAATTTTGGATGGGGAACATCCTCCACTTAGTGAATAAAGTGGCTGCTTTATGGTTCTGTTTATCATTAAGCTAAATTTAAATCTAATATCACATGATGAAGTCAACATGTGTACTGTGCATTACTCATCGTGTTTTTCAGTTGTTTATCATTTAAATCACTGATAAATTTCCCAAAGAACAATTTTCCCTATGTATTAATATGTAGGCTTATATTAGTCTAGATAAAAATAAATTGTCAAGGCATTATCCACACCTCTTTGAGAGATTCTGAATTTCTATTTTATTTTATTGTGAATTCAAATAATTTTTCTTCTTCTTAAAGAAACAGTGCTTCACTATAAATTAGATGATGGACTCCTGACAACAAACCCTTCTAAGATGGTGGCAAGGTAGTGTCATTAAAAAAAAATTTAAAAGATGGCTCCTCGTTATCCATTAGAGACACCCAGGCTCAGCTATACAACCATCTGTGCAAAATGATATAGAAAGGATTTTCAGCTTTGGCTGGAAATGTCCCTTCTAACTTTAATATCCTATCACTTTGACAAGATGCCTGAGATCCTCTCAGCTTGATACAAATCCAGCATGTAAACTGTTGGAAAAATATACTGTGTGACTAGAATTTAGTTGTGATCTTTCCCAAAGGTTTTCAATTTTAAGTCATATCAAAATAATTTTAATATCATCAGTGATTCAAATGCTTATATTTTAGGAAATGTAATACTTGCATTTCAGAGATAGAAGCATAGGTTGCCTATCAGTTAGCTGTGGACAGAAATCAATCTATTGCACATGACTAGCTACCAGCAGCCAAGAAAGGGAGGAAACAATTTTCTTTTTAATTTCTAAGAAAGAAACAATGAAAGTTATCTTGTGTTGCAATTTTAAACCCAAACAGCCAGTAATTTGCTGTCTCCAGGAGGCCAGGGTTTTTCACTTGAAAATTTAATTCAACAAGCAAGGCTCTGTAATTGGCATAAGTGTAACATGGTGAAAAGATCAGATTTGGTTTTACTGACTTTCTGACCATCCTCTGCCAGAGAATATCTCATCTTTTAACTAAGTACAAGTTTTAACTAAAAGTATAAGTACACTTAACACATAAATTCTGATTTGTTGAGTGACAGCTCATTCTCTAGTGTACGTGTATGTACACACACAAACACACACACATAATTCCTGTTGATCTGACGCATAAATCATTTTTACAATATACTTACAAGTCTAGATGCAGACCCATACATATTTGGACACTTGATTTATGATAATGTTAGGTCATCAGAAAAGTGAAGAATGGGTGAGGTGATCTTTTTCAAAAATGTGCCAAGGACAGGGCCTCCCTGGTGGCGCAAGGGGTTAAGCACTGCACTATGAAGCAATTTGCAGCCTCTGCAGCACGAGTTCAATCCCCACCTGACCAGGGAGCACATGGCACAGCAGACCTCTCCTGTCTAGCCTGCTGCTCCCCTCAGCAGTGTGTTTCAGTCTGCCTGTTCTGTTCCCCACTCTGTCTCTGCTGAATCCTCTCACTCCCCACATCTCTGGCCTGTACCCCAGCTCTTGTATGCATAAATAAATAAATAAATCTTTCCAAAAAAATGGGCTAAGGACAGAACAACAGGGGCAAAATGGAGTCGTTTATGCTAATTCCCACATCACGAAAGTGGAACCTAGCTACAGTTTCCACTCTCACAGAAATGGAATCTTAAACCAGCGAATCATGAACTGCTTGATTGGCATTAGTAATCTGACTGATAAATCTCCTGCCACCTCCTATAAGTAACCTGGCAACAACCAATCAACTTTCTGCCTAGTACAACTTCCCTATTCCTGCTCCCTTCTGCCTATAAAATCTCTCGCCTTGCAGATCTCTTTGGAGCTCCTTTCCATCTGCTAGATAGGATGATGCCCATCTACAGGTCACTGAATAAAGCCAACAAGATCTTTAAATTTTAAGCAGTTGAATTTTGTTCACTAACAAATGGTTCTGTGTCTACTGAACATCCATATGGGGAAAAAAATACAGGATAACCCTTACCTCTTTTCACATACATACACATTTATTCTAGTTAGATTGTAGATTTAAATGTGAAAGGTAAATACAACAAAATTTCCAGAAAACAGATAAAAATCATTATGATATTGATGTGAGGAATTATTTCTTAAATAGGAATCCAACAGCAATAATCTAAAGGAAAACATTTTCATCAAAACATCCATCAAGAGAATGAAAAACCTCAGAAGACTAGAAGATATTGTAACATGGATATCTGCAAAGGAGTGCTATCCAAAATCTATATAGAATTCCTACAAATCACAAAAAAGGGCAGGCATCCAAGAGAAAATCAGACAAGAGACAAACAGGTGCTACACAAAAGAGACTACCCAAATGACCAATAAAGTTATAAAAAGTGCTCAGCTTCATAAGGAATCAGGCAAGTACAAATTAAAACTAAAAGGAGTTATGCCACACCCACTGATCAAAAGTAACTAAAAGTTAAAAGACTAATAATATCAAGTGTTAGAAAGAATGTGGTGCAAAAGAACATAAAATGCTAGTGGAAATTTAAATTGGTATAATCACTTTGACAGCATCTACTACAGCTGAACAGATAAATACCATATAATCTAGCAACTGTATCAAGAGACATGAACAAAAATAGTCACAGCAAATTATTCTTAATAACCCCAAATAGACCAAACCTCTATCAAGAGTAAACTGTATATAAATGATGTCACACAATGGAGTATTATAAAGCAGTGAAAACGTACAAGCTACCTCTATAGACATGAACAAATCTAGAAACATTACATTGAGCTGAAAAAGTCAATCACAAAATAATGGACACTGGACATTTCCATTGTTAAAAAGTTCAAATGCAAGCAAAATCTAACCATAGTGAGAGCAGCCGGCACAGTCAGTACCTTTGGAGGGCAGAGAAAGGGTGTTGTCCAGAAGGGTCTGAAGAGGATTGCCACATAAGCTACAAGATGGTCAATTAAATTTGAATTTCAGATAAACAACAAATAATCTTTTAGTAACAAGTAGATCCCAAGCAGTATCTAGAACATGTGTTTTTATTTGCTACATCTGGCACCCCTAATCCGTGAGGGTTGCTTTTGCTTTTGATATTTGTTGATGTTCATCCTGGTATCATACATTGTGAATTTTTCTGTGCATGTTGTACTTCACAATTTAAAAAAAAGGTAAAAGTATACTCAGTACAGCCTTGCAGATTTTAAAATATCTCATCCAACCACTGTTTCCATCCCACTCTTAATCATTGCATGTGAGAGCCAATTCTCAGGAGGTGGGCACTGATAATCTGCAGTGTTGTGCCCAAAGCTGCTTCCCAGGCTCTACTTTCAATTTTTTTAATTAAAATTACTTTTACACAGCATGCATCTTTACTTCTGAAATCTTCTTTTCATATCCTGCCTCATGTTTTTTGTTTGTTTTTTTTGTTTTTTTCTTATTTGTATTTGAGTGGCTGGCTTAATCTTACCAAAGGGCAATGCCAGAGTGGAAGGCCAGGGTCTACCCATCAGCAAGAAATACACAAACCAGTGTTCAGTAAAGAGTTGGACTGCCCAGTCACTTATGGGCATCAGAATCCAGTGGCATGGAGATACAAAGTAAACTGGTAATTTAGGGCTAACATCTTGATACAGACACTGTTCAGAACACATAAAGTTGAAGACTTCCATCTGCATCCTGATTTCTAAACTTCTCAGAAGTTGACACGAACAACTTGGAGGGGGGGCCATGTAGTTCCCTCCGGTGGGTGTACTACTTACATTCTTCCTGCAGACACAAATGGGAAACCCAAGGAAAGAGTGGTGTCCAGTGCAAACAAAAACCTGAATCATTTTTCTGCTGTTGTTTAAATAAGGTTCTATTTATTGGCGAAAGTTCTTTCATGCTCGGGGTTGTGTTGTTTTGTTCTGTACCTTCATCTCGTTTTGAAATGAACCCCTCCCAATTCTAAAGAAAAAATGTGTCCATGTTTTATTGGGTGTGTCTCTCCATAAAGTTTGGCATCAAACTCCACAGGTGAGTGGAACCGTTACCTTCCTGTCCACTACTTATGGTCGGCATCGGTTCTCTGCATTATTAATAGAAACACTGTCTCTCACACAGTGTATTAAGGATAATGATTAGGTTTCTGGAGTGTGGAGACAGGGTGCCTGGAAGAAACTCAACTTCGCCACTGAGACTGTGTAGTTCTGGCTACTGAGTGACTCCTCTGCTGTGTCTCAGTTTCCCCAACCATAAACTGGGAATAAAAATTACCCAATTCAAAGAGCTGTTGGGAGTATCAAATGCCTTGGAAGGCGATTAAATAAAGCACAGCACCTGGCACAGCTTAAACGCTCCAGGTGATTGTTATCTCTACGATTGGCTACCTTCGAAGGGCCTTGCCACCTACAAGGAGTAGGTATCTAGTGAAGGAGAAGCATCTCGATGCAGTGGCAAAATAGGGGAGTGATAGAGAGCAAGAGTTCCACCAGCTTCTAAAGTGTGGTTCAAGTTGCGCCCAAATCATATTAGGCGAGGTAGTGCAGGAGGCGCCCAGTGGGGTCCAGGAAGGTGGACACGACCCTACCCTGTCTGGACCCCAGACAAAGGCCAGGACCTCTGACCTTGGGCGCCCACACTACTCACGTTGCGGTTGAAACTGTTGCCTGGCAGCAGCGGCAGGGTCATGGCTTTGAGCGTCGGAGGGTCAAGGGTCCAGCAAAGAGGGGCCAGCAGGCAGCGGACGCCCGGCGGCTGGGCTGTTTAAAACCCCCACCGTTACCTAGAGACCGGAGGCAGCGTCACGTAGGGAGGAGGGGCAGGGGCGGGACTGGGGCTCGGGGCGGGGCCACGCGGGGCTGCGCGCGCGCACCTCCTCCCTCGGCCCCTCGCCCCGCCCCCGGCTTAGCAGGGTGGGTCTCGGCCTAGGTCTCTGGATGCTTTTCTCTCCACACGAATTGTGCACACAAAGACTGACTGGCACACCGTTCCCCGCCCCCTCCGCTTTCTGATTTAACCCTTTACGGAGCGCAAAGCCTTGCATGTACTTAAGCGCCTTCGATTCTTGCCATTTGTTTTTCCAATTTAATTCAAACACACAGCCAAGTGGAGAAAATAATATGACAGCCGTGGGCGCACAGAAACGTAACACCAGTTAACCTTTCTCTATGCTATAGTTGCATCGGCTTTTATTTTGTAATTAAAACGTTCAAGATGAATCGAAAGCCACATTATCGAATGTGTCGCCCCCTCCCCCAGTCCCACCCCAATGAATACCCACTCAGTGGTAACCATCATCTTCAGTCCTTTCTCTGCCCACTTTTTATATTTAAACTAAACGTTTGTGAGATGCTGGGTCCTGATCCAATGGGGAGGCCTGGGGGTGGGGGGAGAAGGGGAGGTTCGAGGGCACAAACGCAGCCCTGCCACTTCAACACGCAGCAAAAGTGTCCACGCCAGGAACCCCCTCACCCGACACGACAGCTAATCCCTCCCCGAGTTCTACTGGGTGGACATGCAGGTGCCTTTCTCAGCACCTCCTCTGTCTTAGTTGAGGACCCATTATTTCTCGACTGGTTTTCTTAAAAAGGCAGATCTTGCCTCCAGCGCCAACATCTTCTACCTCAGTGATGGACCTGTTACCCTTGTGCTTCAATAATCTAGCCTGCCCTCCGCTTCAGGACTCAGGCAAACCCCTTAGCCTTGATCAAGAGACGCCTACCAAAACCCTGCAGCCCTTCCTTTGACCCCTTCCTCTACTCCACCTCTGAGAAACCCCTGGACCCGGACATTTGCAAACCAGGCTTTGTGATTTCTCCCCTCGGAAATTTTGCAGATAGTGGTTATCTGCTAAAACACCCTTCCGTCCTATCTTTCATTTGGGTAACCTCGTCTGGTCATCTACGGGTTGGTTCAGTGTAGGAGAGAGGCATTTCTAGAATATATTCCTTCACCTTCTCCCCTCATTTCTCCCCAGTCTGTATGAGGTGTCCATTCCAATTCTGGCTTTGATGGTTAAGTGTTGTAATCAATGGATTACTTGACTCTTTTTAGATGCCCCCAAATTGCTCCAGGGCAGAGATTCAGTCTCTTTTCCAAATTCATGAACACTATACATCACTGTTGTCTGTATCTACAAAGTTTCCACTATAATTTGCTGTTACCTGCCTTTTTTCATCTAAGATTTTGTTTTTGAGATTTCTAAGTGTTAACACATGTAGATACATTTCATTCATTTGATGCATTGTATGATTTTACCACACATTACTCATTCATTATCATCTGTTGATGTCATCTGTTGATGACAATTAGTTTGTTTCCAATTTTTCTTTAGTCATCAACAATGTACATGAACAACCTTCTCCTGTTCTTTTGAAGATTCTAGGGTACATATCTAAATTGTTGCACATGGGAGTTCACGCCATCAGCTAGATCTTGCTAAACAGTCTTCCAGAATTGTTGAATCAGTTTTAAAAAGTCCCTCTATCTCTTCATTCTTTCATTAATGGGTATTGCCAAAGTGTATGATTTTAAATAATTATTTGCATAAATATGAAATGGTATATTATTTTAATTCATTTCTCACTAATTCCTAGTGTATTGCTCATGTTTTCACATGCTTGTTACCTTCTGTGACTCATCTATTCATAACCTTAGCTGATTTTTCTATTTGATCATTTGTAATTTTAAAAAATATATTTTAGATACTAGTCTTAGGCATAGCAAGTATCTTATTGTTTGTGGTTTGTCTTTAAGTTTAAAGACTTCTTTATTGTAGATGAATTTCACTCAAATTGATCATCACTGTCCTGTTCTAGTTTGTGCTTTGTATGTGAATTCAAAAAATCCTATGGAACCGAGTTATTCTCTTGCAAGTTCTTCCAAATATTTTTAAATATTTCTTTTCTGTTGCTTTTTAAATTAAAACAATTTCAAATCAAAAGTTGCAAGAATAATACAAAGAAAACCCATTTAACCTTTACTTGATCCTAGTCAAAAGGGCGAGAAGCAATCCCACTTAAACTTCACCCAGTTCCCCCAATTATTTTCTATTTTACCATGTTTCTTTTTATCATTCCTTTATACATACAGTTTCTTCCTTTTTGAGTAAGTTGCAGACATCATACTCTTTTACTTCTAAATACTGCAAAGTATATTTCCTAATAACAAGAACATTCACTTACTTAACTGAAGTACAGTGATCAAAAATTAAAAAATAAAAAGCATTTAAAATACTATTTCTAATCTAAAACACTTATTCCAATGTTATTAGTTATCCCAATAATGCATTTTAAGGCAAAAAACATTTTTTTTTACTCTGGTCCAGAATCTGATCCAGCATCACACACTACATTTATTCACCATGCCTCCTTATTCTCCTTTAATCTCGAACAGCTCTTCCACTTTTCTCTTTTATGACCTTGATATTGTTGAAGAGAATAAGTCAGCTATTTGGAAAAATGTTCTTCAATTTAGGTTTAAGCACTGTTTCCTCATGAGTAGTTTCCATGGATCTTTGAATGGATTTTTGGCTGGAACACCATAGGACCATTGCATCCTTTTCATTCATCAAAGAAGCAGGTACACAGTGTGTATATATATATTTTTTAAAAGATATATTTTTATTTATATATGCACACAAGAGCTGGGGTATAGGCCAGAGGTGCGTGGGATTCGCCAGAGACAGAGTGGGGCAGAACAGGTGGATCTACTGAAATACACTGCTGAGGGGAGCAGCAGGCAGCCTGGAGAGGTGTGGGTTATGTGGGTTGTAGAATGTGGAAGTAAATCTGGCAAGAACAATTAAAACGAAAAAACTGCTGTGCCATGTGGGTTAGCAACCTCCCCGGGGATTGACCTCATGCTGCAGTGGCTGCAGATAGCTTCATAGTGCTGGGACTTTAATCACTGTGCCACCACAGAGGCCCCACAATATATATTTTAACCATCAATGGTGAGGTTAACTTCCATCATTTGCTTAATGCGGTATATGCCAAATTTTCCCATTGTGAAGTTACCCATTTTTTTGTGAGGAGATACAATACTTTGGGACTACGTATGTACCAAGTTCCTCATTAAACTACCAGTGGCAGTGGATGATTTTATCCATAATGGCTCCCAGTCGTTTCTTAGCTCCATCATTCCTTCTATATATATTAGTTGACATTCTACTACAAGAAAGAACTTTTCCTTTCTCCCAATTTATTTGCTTTTTTATTCATTTATATTAGAGTGATCTCACTAATTCTTATTTTATTCAGTGGGTTATAATATGTTGTGATTTTTGTTGTTTCTTCATTTTAATTGTTCTTGCCAGATTTACTTCCACATTCTACAAACATGGTAACAATTTATATTTCCATCTCTTATCTCTGCCAACCATATTATTATTTTAGGTTCTAAAATTGTCCCACATTTGGTCAGTGGGATTCCCTCCAAGTTGACTCCTCTGTCCTTCTGATTGTCTTCACCATTTTTCAAGCAATTCCTTGTATTCTATCACTACAAGATATTCTAGATATCTATAAATATACAAAACAGATAAGCACATATAGCTCTCTCTCTCTCTTTCCATTTCTGTCTATAGATAGATACAGATAGAGATATATGTAGAAATAGATATATTAAAACCCATGATATTATACTGATATATCCAATTCCAATCATTCTCTAAATATTTATACCCAAAGCAGTTTCAGAATATCCAACTCATGTCATTGTAAGAAGCAAACCTACTTGCTTGAATTCAACATTTGTTACCAGGTTATTTCAGGTTATTTTTCTTCAGTCTTTTTTTTAAAAAAAAAAAAAAGATTTATTTTATTTATTTATGCATACAAGACCTGGGGTGTAGCCAGTGAGAGGATTCACAAGAGAGAGTGGGGAGCAGAACAGGTGGATCTCCTGAAATACACTGCTGAGGAGAGCAGCAGGAAAGACAGGAGAGGTCTACTGGCCCATGTGGGTCAGCTCCCACTTGCACTGCAGTGGCTGTGGATAGCTTGACAGGGCTGAGATTTAACTCCTTGTGCCACCAGGAGGCCCTTTTCTTCAGTCAATGTATTTGGTCAAAATACTGTGTTCCAGGCCTCCCGGGTGGCGCAGCGGTTGAGCGCTGGGTTGCGAAGCTACCCACAGCCTCTGCAGCTCCAGTTCGATCCCCGGCCGCTGGGTGAGGGTCCCACATGGCGCGCAGACCTCTCCTGCCTCCTGCTGCTCCCCTCGGCAGTGTACTTGGTCAGTCTGCCTGCTCTGCTCTGCTCTCCGTTCTGCTTCTGGTGAATTCTCTCACCCTCCCCCGCTTCTGACTGTACCCACTGCTTGTATGTATAAATAAATAAATCTTTTTTAAAAAAAGCAAATAAAAAAAAATACTGTGTTCCAAAATAACTTTGGCTTAGTTTACCCGGCCTCTCCTCTCCTTCCTATTAACAGTGCTTATGTTACTCATTTGAAAAATAGTCTGGCTCATTCATTCCCACTTGTATTCCACATTAAGGTTCTTGTCCCATCCTTGTGTACCTCTTGTTATTCCTACATTTGTATATTTTTCCTTTGATAACTTAGCAGGTGGTTTATATATTTTGTTACATTTTTCAAAGAACCAGAATTTGATTTATTACTTTGACTTACTGTTTCTATTCCTAATCTTCACTATTTTTCTGCTTTTACCTTTATTGTTTTCTCTTGGCTCCTTTGTTTTTCTTTTTCTCACTTTTTGAGTAGATATAATTTGTTACTTTTCATTCCATTTTGATTGATATAAGCATTTAAGGCCGCA